ACACCAGCAAATGACCTTCACAAGACAGTCCGCCCGATTTACCGGTCGAAAACGGATTGTACTGCGCTTGAGTGTAAAGACTGCGTAATTTGTTTTAAAATAATATCAGTGGCAATAGACTTGCATTTTATGAGACACTTAGACAGTTTACTGTTAAGACGCTTGCTGATGATATGGATAAAATGGTGGATTATGTTAGTGGAGATAAAAGCCAGTACCGTAACATGCAAAGTGGAGAACAAGGGAATAAGGTGAAAGCCTCGTGAAGCACAGTGTGTTCAAGTCAGTATCAACGGTTACGACTACGTGTTTGCAGCAAGCGGTGGATGTTCTAAAGGCGTCTCCGCACCGTAGCGACATGCAATACTGAGTGACCTTATTCTGAGCGTTATGACGCTCATTTCTTGAACCAGCGGTCTCGAGTGCAATTCCTCAACTTGATCTGAACCAGTGCAGGCTGCTGCTATCAAAACAGAGCGAACTCCATTGCCCGGAAACTGTCCCAATCAGTCCACAAGGAGTATTAGTTAGAGCAGAAAATTCAGAGACCGCTTTGTAATGTGACCTATCCTGTGATGCAGAAAGTCCAATACTTAATTACACGCGTGTGTGTGTGATCGACAAGGCAGCGTGCAACTGGCTGGGATAACGCACTTGCAACCCAAGGGGGACTCTTTGATTATACACGAAAACTCAGAACTTGATGGTGAAAGTGTGTTTACCATTCGTGATCAAAATATAAAGGGTTCGTGGATCAATAACGCTACATGATCAAAGAAAGCAGATTTGGATGACTGGATGATGACGGCTAATAAGCCAGAAAGGGCCATTGCAATTCCCTTTGTACTGTTATAGGTGAACTAGGATAGACCGACGGAGAAGCTGAGATTTCCTTGCTACTGACTAGAATCGAATAAAGATAATAAGAAAATAAACGGTCTGCTCACATTCTGACCCAGGGCGTTTGATCCGATCAGCCGTTGCAATGAGATCCTGCATTTGAGTCAATACCCTGGTCAAGTTCTCATGGTCGGGATGGCCTTTGGGCGTGCACTAAAGATAGACGGAAAGTAAAGAAAGGTGTGATGTAAGCAGAAATGTTTGCGTGTTAGGGAAAGCCACCACATTCTAGCGCTTCTATAGGTCAGAAGGTTTGTCGCGAACCCCGACGGTTGCTCTGTTCTATGCCTCTTCATCGCGATGCGGCTGCATTAATAAAGAACGATGCTTAGCTGTTGGCTGCCTATACACAAACCCATGTAGCGGCACGATGCTGCTCCGGTCGTTTGAGTCGACGGTCTTGAGCTAGCCTTATGTGCCATAAACGTATTATTCGTCGATATGCTCACTTATCTCTCATTGTCAGTTCTACTTCAGCGCTGTCAAGGCTATCGGCATGACCATCAAACAGCACTCGCCGACAAACCACATCCATCTCCGGCATTTTCTCTGCGGGTAGGTCCTCGTCGCTCACAAATGGAAAACTCGTGAGAAAATTTCTGGATTTCTGAGCCGCCTTCAGGTTCTTCAGTTACGAGAATGACGCGCGGTCTATGTGTTATGTAAATAATCTCTTCGTTGATGTGTTAGTTATCAGCAAAACTGGTCACAAACTGCCGGACCAGTCAGACCCAAACACCGCTACACTGTAGATCCAACTGCGGGCCAGGTGTCACAGGTCGAATGTAGAGTGCATTACTAATGGCAAAGGCTAAAGTTTGTTAAACAAAGGCCTTTTATGGTGGAGCGTATCCATAATGCCGTAAAACTGCTTATGATCGTCAGCTGAGCAACCAGGCGACTTCCGTGGCTGCATCCTTAAGTATTCCTTAGCTGTCAAGACATGAACAGAGGTCTTACCTGAAAAAGGATAGCTTAAATGTTCGAGGAGAAGGAATTTGAATGGCTGAATTATTGTGGTTCAGTCACATCCAAAAGGTACTTGAGATTAAATAATAGGCTTGGCGGCGGATTTACAACTGCTCCCAAATGAAGGGATAAATTGGTATTGCCTAAGATTGTGACTCAGACTACAATTAATGTTTCTTATGTAGCTTGCTAGGGCGCTGTCAACCATGTGAGATCCAAAATGTTTTTCATAGAAGTTTGGCACATGTGGGGACAGGGTAATGCGTGAAACGCGTAGATGGCTCATTCAGTTGTTTTAGCCACTGCATCTACGCTCACATCCGGTCGTCTTGACTTTATTTTGAAATCAAAAGACGACGATTGTGGAAAATAGGTGGGATAAATCCGATAAAATTCTGATTCATTACAAAACAATGCACCAGGTCACCAGAACCTCACCCCCTTGTGTAACAATAAGCGAATAAGTCGGCAAGCAAACCCGAATTGTCTTGGGTCGCCTGCACGATTGAATGTCCCTCTTTCTGCAAGACGTGTTTCTGGAGGGGAAGTGAGGGAGAATATGCTGAGCTTTCCACCCTAGTCGGCGTATTTGCGAAAATACTTGGCAAAGGGCAGCCGCCATTGACAAGGGGCATTTTCAGACTTATTCTCTGAAGTTCACATCATACCTTTTTCATCCTCTCGAAGACATTTGAGATTTTAAACGGTCGCTGAAATGGAGTCAGAAGACGGTCGCTAAGACTAGAATTGTTGTTGTCCTCTTTCGTCAGCATTGCTGAGGCCACCTCGAAATACTTCTCAAGATGGGGCCTCTGTGGGGAAAAATAAACGTAAAAAATGGTATGAGAACAGTTACTATCCTATAGGCCTCGCCAACTAAATACTGGCTTTAGGGCTGAAAGCAGCTGATATTTGAAAACGCAATTGACTTCAGTGTAAGCTGACAAACACTTAATTGAGAGTTTCATTAGTCTTTTGTCAATGTTGGTGAGTGTGAAACGAAGTCTTTGTTTGCTTCAAAGGCTATGACAGTTTGCCTTCCGGATGACATAAATAGATTTCCTTCAGTGTAATTCAATTTTGCAGATCATGTACACACTTTAATTATTTAGTGCCTCGAAAGTTGGCGCTCGGATGCGGATAAAAGTTTACTATTTAACGAGTCCTATGAAGTATACCCTTTCTGGAAGGAGCCCGATACTCCTGACGTGTAGCTAGATGGAAGGTTTTATTAAGGATAGTTCCATTTCTGGCCCTTTTTATGCATAATCAAATCTAAATTAGTTTTTTAACTTTCAAGGCACTTGGCAATATTTAATAATAGTACGTTGTAGTTATCATCAATTCAGTATTTTCGACCGATAAATTCAGAGGTTTGGAAGTTTCAAGTACAAAGATAATAATTTAGCAGATACACTTTCATACCTATGATCACCATTTTTTCTGGACCGAGGTTTTAAACCACTGCATAATCACACTGGCTTACTGCGAAATTCCTACTGCAGATAATTTAGGGCAAAGAAAAGTGGTTTTACCTTTTGAACGAGTTGCGGATCAAAGTGTTTTATGTAATCCACGTAAGCTTTCTTGAAACGGGAAATAATAGGTAGGAAGGCACCGGCTATTTGGGAAAGGAAAATAAGTGACAGTTAGATTGAAAAATACAAAGGTTCATTTTAAAATTGTCAAACTTCAAATGTTGTCAAATTAAATATATATCTTTAAAGGCTTACCAACGCAAGTTAACTCTGGATCTATCGAATTTTCCTTCACATTTGTAAATGCGTTGATTATTTCTTTAGATACGGATACATATTCTGGCAGGTTAATGAATATTGACATAAAGTCCTCAACTGAAATCTGTCAAGAAGAACAATATCATCTTGTAGGTAAAACAACTGAAGACAATCACCCGAAATAAAATGGATATAATAAAATTAGTAATGGATTAGTTAAAAATAACGACGCAAGACAGGATCTAGTCAGTAAGCACAATCACAGCAACCCTGATATCAACGCACTAGCCTCTGTTTACTGCTTAGGTTTGCGAGTGCTCTGTCTGCAGTAATCTCTGGCAGGCGTGTGTCAAACAAGTACTAGGTGCTAATTAGAGTCAAATGTGATATCATTGGAACAGCTGAGAGAAATAATAGTTTGCATACTGCAAGATTAAACTTAAGTTATTGCCTCCGTTTTAATTCATCCTATGAATAGTATTTATGCCTACACAAATATATAAATTTTTTTGAAAAACCAAGTACTATAAAATTGGTGAAATTTGAGGTATGAAGGCAGATTAACATTGGTCGGATCGAATTACCAGACAAAATAGATGGCCTGCACAGCTCATGATTTCTTATCTGATAAGCATCAAATAAAATGTTTAGTAGGGTAAACATGGGTTATGGTTGACTCTAAATATAAACAAGCAAACTGCTCTAGCATTTGTTTTGCAAACCCAAATTACCGGTATATCTATGTCGCCCGAAGACAGTAAACAGAGTATTAGAACCATTTCTTTCTTGAATTTAGTTTCGTTGTCAATTAATTCATCAAGTAGGAAGGCGCGAAGCGAGGATTCCGTCGACGTTTTTGGCTTCCGTTCTCCGTAAGAAGTAGCGTTTTCCAGGGAAACGTAAATGTTTTCCTGTTCTGATACGGGGTCTATTTTTACCGCATTAGATGGTGTTCTCTTCGCCATTGCGGGCGGTCGTGGAGGTAGTGTAGGTGGTTTTACTTGACCTCGCCCTTCGGCGACGTCGAAGAATCCAGAGTCCCTTGCGAAAGCTTAAAGGATAGTTAAGTAAAAACTGTAAAAACACTAAACTGACTTCACTGGTTTCAATTCGGAACTTAAACTACCAAAGCCCAGTGGAAACCCCAGAGAACTATTGCGAAGTTGATTTTCTAGTTATAAGAACTTACGGTCTTTTTGAATAATTAATCAAAAGATTATCGTTTTTAATTATCATTCATCAACATTTTGGAATTTACTACGGTATTTTAACATAATTCTTGATTAAAAGTATTTGAGGATACGGTTCATATAAGGTAAATCGAAGTACCTTCATAGTAACATTAACAGGCATTGACGATATTAACAAACACCCGCTATCCTGATATATAAATAGCATTACAAAGAAGAAATCGGAAAACCTCAAGCAGCAGTAGTTAAGTAATAAGTTTATAACGTGCAACTTATGCAAATAGAAAATGGACTAATTCGATTTTGAGCAGGCCAGTCAGCTGAAAGTGAAGTGCTGAAAGACTCACTAGGACTTTTAAGCAAATTTTCATCTCCATTGAAGAGCCGCCGCAATCCAGGAGACTAAAACATCGCCAAAAAAGGAGCTGCTTCGAAAAAATTGTCCGATATATTTATTCACAAAAGGAATACTCGCATAAAAACGTATCTTAAGCTTACTTAGTAAGGTCAACTGACAATAAGGCCATCTAGGTATAATAAACCGCAGATAAAGCCTGACTAACCAGACAGACCGAGAATGTGTAACTTTTTTTCTGGGAGAAATGTTGATTGGTTTTGTTTGTTTATTGTCTGGTTTGGATGTACATAATTACCATGGAAACTTGGTTAAAAGCGTCAACTGCTATATATGCATATTGGTGTTCAACTAAGACCATAAACTGAAAAGAACATGAGTATTGCCCACGCACACGTTTCAAATATTAACAGGAGTAGGATCAAATAAAATACTTTCGAATGAACAAATTAAATTATATGTTAAAATTCAATTGTATTTATTTTTATGTAAAATTTAACGATTAATTCGATCGAATAGTTTTTTGGAGGGCATTTCAGGGTTTGTTTTTGGTATATGTATGATGAAACATGAAACATGCAATGTCCTATTATTTTCGCTTGTAAAGTTGCAGAATTGTGAGTTTTTAGCGGTGAATGGAATTTTTAGCCCTAATCGACTGCCATATTCGTAGCAGAACTCACGCAATCTCGAGCTACGAAGGTAGGTGTTTTGTGAGATTTACAATTGTCTTCGTCTGCAATAGGATCCATGACGGCTATAAGCGCTGTGTACGACGTTTCTATGTTGACTTCTGGTACTTAAACTTGTTGAGGTATGTTCCATATTATGGCACAGGACGTTTCCGTGTCCCACAGCCCCGGTGGCTAAGTATATTTAGGGGGAGGAGGTGCAGCTCCTGGCTATGAGCTTATCGATAAGCTCATAGCCACGTTTCCCTTTTTAACCTATATTGTTCTTATGCTTTGCTTGCATTTCTACTATATCGCCTTTTACTAATAAACTCTTAAACACCGCTGAAAGCGACTTTTACCATGCCTGGTTCCTGTTTTAACAATAATTAGTCATTCAATAGGCGCTAAACGCGACCTCTCTATTTTAGACATCTGATGTCCGACGAAAACTCCTTCAGACGCCGATCCAAGCGCAAAAAACGAACTCCG